TGGTACTGCGTCTGTAAGTATATCATATCCTTAGGACATATCATTTCGGGTCTGTCGACAGCTAGTAAGGGGTAGCTGGCCGCCCGACCAGAACCAGACCCGAGCGTACGGCGCGTCGCGTTCCGTGCGCGCATCTAAGAGTCAATAGACCACCACAGACGGGGCCCTATAGGGCTGATGTTCAGAAGGGGTTGCGGGAGCGCAATAAGGCACCGCGGCCTAGACCTAGAGCAGTAAAAGGAACGGGGAGTTTTCCTCCCGCCACGCAAAAAGAAATACATATTATTTAACCAGCATAACACAGGAACGAAAATATACAAACTAATTAAAAATTACAGCTTTAGTAAAAAAAAAAGAAGACTGATATCATGAATGTAACCAATGAATAGGTACTTAGATCAAGTTTTTTTTGTCTTTGTTTAATTGTTTTTAATTCGCCATGATTGCTTTTGTTTTTATTAAACACATGAGACGGTCTTGTTGTAAGATTTCACTATATCATCACACGTAAAGACACAACGTTACTCTTCTAATCACCATCATCATCTTCACACCAGGGTATCAGTGATGGTGCTGGAGCCATCGTCCTGGCTGGTGAAGAAGCTGCCAAGGGTTTGAAGCCCCTCGCCCGACTAGTGGGCTGGTCCTACGTAGGTGTTGACCCCAGCATCATGGGTGTAGGTCCCGTGCCTGCTATTGAGAACCTTCTCAAGGCCACCAAGATGTCCCTCAATGATATTGACCTGATTGAGGTGAGTTGACTTCTATTTTAATTGAGGACTTATTGTTATCTTTACAAGTAATCTCTTCATCCCTTCCCAATCCTTAAATATCCGGAACGCTTACCCGTTATTCTCAAAAGACCGGCAACGCACTCGTAACTCCTTAGGTGTTGTGGGTGTCCATGTTCGGCGCCGATTGCTTCCCATCAGGTAATCCGACTGCACGTTTTGCAGACCTATCTTATAAAAAAGTAATAATTAACTGACTTAAGTGCCTTAAGTCGACCCAAAATACATTTTTATTTTCGGTTGTTACTTCCTAGACAAACTTTATTAATGCTCCGTCTCATATTTTCTCCAATTAGATCAACGAAGCGTTCTGCGCCCAGACTCTATCCTGTGCTAAGGCTCTGAAGCTTGACATGGAGAAACTGAACGTGAACGGAGGCGCCACTGCCCTGGGGCACCCTCTTGGAGCCTCGGGATCCCGTATCACCGCACACTTGGTGCATGAGCTGAGGTAAAAGAATAATCTTTTTATACACCCATGTTAACAACAAGTGTCGTGTTGGCCCGGAGGTTAAGGCTCTTCATGCATGAGGATGCGGGTACAAAGCCTGCCAAGTACCAATGTGATTTTTTCCGTGTGATATGTACATATATTCTTAGTTTCATCTAGACTCCTCTGCCATACGGTGAAGGACATCATGAACTTAAAATATCTAATTATAAGTTTAAAATCGCCAATCCGCCTTGAGCAATGGTAATTAATGCTCAAACCTTCTCCGTGTGAGAAGAGGCCTTTGCTCAGTAGGCACTTTAGGCTGATGATCTGATGTGATAGTTAACTGTTTATAGTTCTTCAGCAAATAATAGTCGAAGTTCCTTGACTGTGTAACTAAACTTTGCCCTTACCCAAAAATCGAAAACAAAGTTTTATCTAATCCAATACTGATAACTAGATAATGTATGACCAAATACTTTTTACCTACTGAAAAAGTGCAATTTGGTGTTCTTATTTTGTGTAAGTAATGTAGAAAGGGAAGCTACATTGGAGATTGGATGTAAGACCATATTGATGAATTAGTCTCGCTAAAACTCGGGAACAGCTGTTCCGTTTTAGATAATTTTGGACTCGAAATATTCAGCACCTAACTTCATTCACGAACAGACTGACAGACTACAAATAGGAACTTTTGACATTTCAAAAGTTTCTATTTATGGTTTAGTTAGAATAAATGATTTTGACTTTGAAAAATTGTATTTTTCCTTGTTTTAGACGTCGCGGCTTGAAGCGTGGTATTGGCTCCGCCTGCATTGGAGGAGGCCAAGGCATTGCGCTTATGGTGGAGACCGTCTAAGCCCGCACTAAATTAAGTGAACGAATGAATGAATGTATCATGAATGAACGATTGAACATAAGAAGCAAATACAATACTATTCGTCTGAGAAAAATGTGAACCAATGTTTTTTTTTGTCAAATCAATATTTTATAATGAAATTATATTGTAAAACTATTCTGTGTATAATATATTCTTGTCATATGTTATTGTATGGCTACTGTCAAGAATGTAAATAAATTATATTTATCTCGTCCATAAAGACGCTGTTACTTAATACTAAGTCAATAATATTTTGATAGCGTTTATTATAAGAAGTATTAACTTTTGGAGGTTATTTAATTATATGTTACAAAAATATTACTGCATTTTTATTTTTTTAATCACGGCACTATCGACCTTTGTGGGAAAAAACCTACCCCAATCACAAGTAAATCTGTTGTAGGTGGACCCCGAGGCTTTCCCGAATTTGTCCTGGTGAGAAAATGAAGTTTGATAAAAGAAAAAAATATTTACTTCGTCCAAGTCAACAGACTTTTAGAGCCGCCAGCTCTAAAATCTTAGATTTCACTATTCGACAAGTAGGTACTATGCCTAAACGCATGAAAAATTGACAAGAAAGTCTCTTAAGCACTTTCTTCCAACAGAATTTTCCCACACCTATGTAATTTTGTTTATATAATGAATTTAAGGAGTTTTACATTTTCTATTCTTGATCACGAGTTCTTATTCTCATGTTTATGGAAAATGTCTACAAACAAGCAAATTGGTTCCCTGATGATAAGCAATCAACGACGGTTGTGGACGGATGTCTAACAACAAAGTTCGCTGTCAGACTTGTAAGTTGTTACTGATATAAGGGATTAGAGATGGGGGAAAGACTTGATCTTTCAGTAACTTTATTGACACAGCGTTATTATGCTGTTTCATGTTGTATTCAACACAAGCTTTGTGGCATGCTGGTATTTTGTGAGACCGCAGTATCACTAGGGTCAAGCCGGCCATTTCATGCCGAAGGATGGCTTCCATATTTGAAAAGGCGGCCAAATCACTTATTGCATTTTGTGGCAGATAGTCTTGATTCCATAATACCCAGGCTATGTCATAGGTCAGCAAACGAGCAGACGGATTACCTGATGGTAAGCAATTAGCGCCGCCCATGGACACACGTTGTACTAAAGGAGTTACAACAAGTGCTTTACCGGCCTCTTGTGAGTTATGAGGCATTTAAGAAAAGGGATTTGAGGATTGACGATGCGGGGGGGGGGGGGGGGTAACAATTGGGCTTCCGGTAACCTCACTCTCACGGCGAAACACAACGTAAGTAAGTGTTGCTTTACGCCGGTATTGTGTGGTACCACTCCGGTCGAACTGACCCATTCGGGCTCGACCGATACAACGACTCCAAAGAAAACCTAAAGCAACGCTTGTGAGTGAGGTAACTAGGGAAGCTCAAATCTTACCATATAAAAATAAATATTCCTTTATTTTACCAACCACCAAACTGTATCTTTAAAGTTGTGTTGACGTTCAAAAGTGCCTGTATGGGTCTAATTGAAATAAATAATTTTGACTTTGACTTTGACTTTGCGTAGTAATAGTTTGTCGGCATGTATTGTTTTTAATTTCCCCAATCATTCCATGGCCGGGTACCTACGCTATTGACTCTGGCGATCCTCTTAGGTGATCTTATCTATTAAGATCTAGCTTTGATTGTTTGTCTATTAAATTACAGACTGATTTTATTTACCTTGGTGTGTTAATGTGGTCAAGAATTGGTACCTACGTAATTAGAAAATGCATTTACCTATCTATTTTTTTCAGAGTTTTTGACAAATTACGTCCCAAGGTTACTTTTGTAATTACAAAAAAGCCATTTTTGTTTTTTTCGTGATTTATGTATTTTTTTTAACTGATTTAATGATGATTTAATACATTTAAATTACTTAAGTTGCAGACAGATTATCATAATTTTACATTTTCGATGACTGCAATGCAAAAGCCTACTTTTTTATTAAATGCAAAATTGAACCTACCTACTCAATACTTTTTTATACTATTTTGGTGTAGCAATTTAAGTATAAATTTTGCTTCACACGTAAAATTTTTTCAGTTAGTTTTACTACATACCTAACAAGAAGCACGAAGCAATCGATAGGTGAGTTTAGTAATTTGCTAGATTAATGTATTTGAGGGTAGAACTGTGTTCTACCTACCCTCATGAGCCTCGGCTTTCGGACTTTTATTGGATACATTTCTGTTTGTGTGCAGGGGAATAGCACAACTTTTTGCACCACCCCGTAAACTGTATTTGCCTGCATTACCATCCTTTAATCACTAACTTGAAAGACCTCTCCCTTAGTTTTTTACGTCGGGGAGCGATGTATTCGCGGGCCACTCAGCTTAGGAGGCTTGTCCACACTATGTTTCTTGTCTTGGTCGCCACTTTCGGGTCCATCGGTCGTCCGTCCTTCAAGTGGTGTGGCCTGCCCACTGCCACATTAGCCTGTAGATTTAATTAGCTACGTCGGTAACCTTTGTTCTTTAAAGAGTTAGAACTAAAAACGCAAATAGACCCCGACCATAGCGCGCTGAGCAACTCTGAGTCTTTAAAAGGCCAGAAGTTACAGTCTCAGTTCCTGTCGCCCTAAGCAAACGTGGTGGTTAATGCTAAGCAAATCTTCTCCGTGTGAGAAGACGCCTTTTCTCAGCGGTGGGCACTTATATGCTGATGATGATGTGGTTTAAGTAGGATGAAGATCCTGAAATAATTACTAGCGAAACTTTTACAAACGAAAATGTTACCTATAAAATTTTATTACTCAATCGTGATACTAATCACGATTTAGTCATTACCTACAGTTTAACAGAATACATAGTTGTCAAAGTTAACAGTGATTATAATCAACAATTCTATTCCAGTTCATAATTTGAAAACAATTGGAATGGTGTACAATGGCGGTAGTAGCGAAAAAAGGTAAAAATAAAAAAGTTTCACTTACAATATGTTATTGTGATCTAACGGTTCGGCCAATTAGGCCAAGCGTAACTTCTCACAACTGACGGAAATATGAGTTAGAGTTTGGACATCTTACAGATTCCAAATAATTCTAATCATCTACCAGCAAAGCAACTGATATGTCTTTCATCACACCAATAACTCAACTAAAACTAATGTTCGTATAATTTACAGGAATTTACATAGTAGCTGCTAAACGGACCCCTTACGGGATGTATGGAGGTCTGCTGCGTGATACCCTTGCTGAAGACCTGTTCGCTACCTCAGCTGCAGCAGCGCTGAAGGCCAGTGGCATGGCTGCAGATCTTGTTGACACTGTCAACGTCGGTCAGGTTATTATTCATTCGCAAATAATTTTTTTGCTTCCGTATCTATCAATGCATGTTGACGACTACAAAATAATTCTTTGTTGCCTAGGTAATGTCGGTAACACAATCTGGTTTATCTGGCCGGCACGCAGCTCTAAAAAGCGGTATTCCTGCCACACGACCTGTCCTCACCATAAACAAGTTATCTGGATCGGGATTTGCCGCCATTATTTGCAGTGCACAAGTACGTTTTTTTAATAGTTTTTTCACACACAAACAACATCAAATAAGACATTTTGTTTTGATTTTATGTTATGTACGTATACTTTGATGTAATTTGTCACAATGATACATTTAACCTCTTTGATACCGAGCACGCTGTTATAGCAGCGGTAGGACCCCTCTTTGAGGAGAGACGTAATGGCGTCCTTACCTTCCGCCTGATGCAGGTGCTTACCGGGCACGGCAGCTTTGGTAAGTTCCTGTTTCGGATCTGGCGAGAGGAAACGCCAGAGTGTCGGCATTGTGAGGACCACCATGATTTTTTCCATACACAAAAAAAAACTCCCTTTGGTAAAAATATTGATTACCTATGAGACACATTCAACTTTTACCAAATTATGTTTCACAGGAAATCTTGATAGGATCGGCAAAAATTTCCTTAGCTGGTGGTATGGAGTCCCTTTCCTCTGTGCCGTTCTTAGTCCGAGGCGTTCGTTTTGGGACACAATTAAGAAAGGCTATACAATTTGAAGATCACTATCAGAAGTGCCTTTTTGATACTTATTGCAAAATGTATTTAATACAAACTGCTGATATGGTTGCGGCCAAGTTTGGAGTGACCAGAAGAGACGCTGATGAATTTGCGTTTAGGTCATATCAGAAGTGGAAAGAGGGTAAGAATTAGATTTAATTGTATTTTTATTTACGCGATAGGAAGGCAAACGAGCATATTAATTACCTGATGGTAAGTAATCAGCGCCGCCCATGGAAATCCGCAACAACGGAAGGGAATGCGTTGCCGACCTTATGGGGATTAGGGTTTTGGGCATTTAGAGATTGGGGGAGAAGAAGGATTGGGCCTTCGGTTACCTCACGCACACGGCGAAACACAATGCTGAGGTTGTCACTCACACGCCGGTTTCCTGTGAGTCAGTGGTATCACTCCGGTCGAGCCGACACATTCGGGCCGAAAGATGGCTCTCACACACTTAAAAAAATGTGATATTGCTGAAGCAATGGGCCAATTTCTGATAACCACGTTATTTCCAGCGGATGCCGAAGGTGTTTTCAATGAAGAACTAGCTCCAGTTGCAATTAAAGTGAAGGACCGTGACGTTCTCATGACAAGAGATGAACTGCCGCTACGTGATATGACATTAGAGAAATTAAGCAGCTTGTCACCTACGTACAAAGACGGCGTCAGCACTTCTGGTAATTGCTGTGTGAGTTGCCTAAAATACAAAGTTATTTATTTTGTTTATATAGATTTCTATCCGGGAGCCTCTAGGAAGCCGCTCTGGCTCTGAGTCACGACGTGACGTAGTTGCCCGTGATTAGTCTTGGCGGGTTCCTTTTCTTTGACGGTGGCTATACAACAACATTATCAGCGTATAAGTCCTTGTGCTGAGCAAAGGCCTCTTCTGACACAGAGAAGGATTGAGCATTAATCAACACGCTTGCTCAAAGTGGATTGGCGATTTCAAACTTATAATAAAACATTATAAGTCTAGGTTTCCTCACGATGTTTTCCTTCACCGTGTGACAGTGGTGTCTAAATAATCTTAGAAAGTACATATAACTCAGAAAAAATCACATCGATACTCGTCGTGTTTCCAACCCGGACTCTCATATATGAGAAGCAGGCGCCTTAACTATGTATGTCTCATGTGGTGCTTATAGGCACTTAAAAGTATAAGTAATTGTGACACTAGATTAAGTATCTCATAACTCATAAACTTGTAAATTATAGTGTTAACAGTTGTTGGTGAGCCAATAAAATAAAATAAAAATAAAAATAAAATTAACCTTTAGGCCACCATGACGCTTTATTTTACTGATTTCTAAGTAAACAACATTAATTATCACCTTAAATCTTTGTTCCTATCGCAGGGCAATGCGGATGGAGGTGGTGCAGTGATCTTGACCGATGAAGAATCTCTAAAGGTTCATGAGCTGAAGCCACTGGCTCGGCTGGTCGGCTGGTCGTCTGTAGCATTGGATCCAGTTATGTTGGGGATTGCCCCGGTCTTGGCTGTGAAATCACTACTCAAGAGAACAGGGTTAACAATGAACAACATGGACTTGGTTGAGGTATGTATTAAATTGAATGGAATGACTTATTTTTTTTATGTGATATTATGGCAAACGAGGTATATTACCTAATGGTAAGCAATCAGCGTCGCCCATGGATACCCGCACCACTAGAGCAGTTACGAGTGCGTTGCCGACCTTTTGGGGATTTGGGGAAGTAATAGGAAATAAAATGCTGTGATTGTTTCACGCCGGTTTTCTGTGAGGACGTGGTATAATTCCGGTTGAGCCGACCCATTCGTGGCGAAGCACGGCTTTCCCACACTTCTTAATTTAATGACAATTCAAATCTTCATAGAATACCAATTGAAACCTTAATTGAATGACCATCGAAGGATTGAGTTGATGTGATGAATTATTTTCCGAAAGACTTTTAAAATGGTAATCAAAAAAGTAAATTACAGTTGCATGAAACATTCGCAGCTGCAACAGTAGCATGTATTAGAGAGCTGGACGTGGATGATGACAAACTGAATGTAAACGGAGGAGCCATCGCTATCGGTCACCCGCCAGCTGCTACTGGTGCAAGAATAGTGACAAACCTCACGCACGAGCTCAGGTAGGACACTAGAATAAAACACAATACGACTGCAGGAACAAAGGTGAACCTTTCAAGATAAGCGGAAAGATATCACGATTATCAATTTGAACAGTTGAAAATTAGAACAAATTTTGTCTTCAAATACAACAATTTACACTGTTCTCACATATCAGAACCGACTAAATGATGAAACAAAGAAATAAATTGTAAAACTGATTGAAAAAGAAATAACCATGGAGTTTCTTGCTCTTAGGAACGAGCAAATAGCTTCACTAGAGGACAGACGGACAGACTGACATGCATAAAGTTAAACCTCTTGAAATCCTTTTTTCTTATTTTTGCTTGACGTTCAAAAGTGCCTACTGTGGTCTATTTGAAATAAATGATTTTGACTTCTGGCTTCGTGTGGTGCTTTAATTCGAAAAATCCATCAATGATTTGTTTGACGGTGGAGATATGGCCATTGAGCCTGATATGTTGAGCAGTCATGCTCATGGTAACTGTGACACACGAGGCAGTGACAGAAGATTATCTTCATCTATACTAATATTATAAATGCGAAACTAATTCTGTCTGTCTTTTCTTGACGCCTAAACTACTCCGTTAAATTTTGGTGCAGACATAGTTTCGTACACGAGAAAGGTTAAGGATAGTTTCTATACCAAAAATCTGCAGGAAGTCACGCGGACGGACGCGCGGGCAAAAGCTAGTATAATATAATTAATCCTTGTTACAGACGACGCGGTTTGAAAAGAGCTTTAACAGCTGGTTCGATCGCTGGTGGACAAAGCATAGCTATGATCATTGAAGCTGTTTGAGGATCAATCACGAGTTATAGCTATCGACATACTAACGATATAGATACTATTTTGATCGCACGGTTGACGCGGTGGCTGGGCAACCGGGTTGACGTGCATGCAATGTGCCGATTTGACCCCTTCACAAATCATCCGGGTCTGGGTGGGATGTGTATGTGTACTTGTATAGTTGTATACTCGTATTTATAAACGTGGAGTAGCCTAGACTGGTTCAACGTTTCTTAAAAAAAGTAATGCTGTATATGATATTGATTGTATATGATATTTATACATAAAGAAGTAAACCAATAACTTATTCGGTAAAGAGCGACAGATCATTTGTGAGTAGAAAATGATAAGATGAGCAAGCATGCTTGTTAATTCATTTCCATGGATACTTCTTTAGTTAAATTATAAATGTAAAAAACGATACAGACGCGATGATGCTTAAGTTTGTAAGACTGGATGGTAGATGTTAGTTATGTCATGTAAAAAAATAAAAACTACAGAACCAGTATGGAATTGTACATGGGCTTTTAACCCTGATATTTCGGCAAAGCCGGTGATAGAATCTAGTAAATAAAAAAAAACATACCATCAATTTGGGTATTTTCTTAAATCACAAAATAAAAACAATCAAGTATCACATTATTCACATTATGATGACTGCTGATTATAATGATGAAAACGTTCAATTTAATAGCCACCTATTCTGATATTCCTTCTTCACTTAGTTGTCTATAAATGTTACCTCAGTTACGCCTGACTAGGCAAATAAGAAAGAGAAAATCGGTAAGTTTATGATAATATTACAGGATAATTTACAGAAAAGTTATGGAAACAGAAAAGGTCCTAAGACAATGCCTTGTGGCATACCTAATATAATTTTTCATTAAAAAACGCGCGACCATTAACAATCTAATGTTTTACTGATAAAATATTTCTAGAATTTTAGTGCTTCTTTTGAATGGAATTGAGACAACATGGCACTACTTCTAAAGAAAGGTATGTTTCTTTTATTTCTCTCCTTTTACTGATGTTGACAAGGGATCGGAGACCAAAAAATGATTTAAATAGATACTTAAATATCCTTCTAATCATAACATGTCTCCAGGTATATATGTAGTAGCAGGTAAAAGAACGCCTTTTGGAAAAAATGGAGGTTTACTTCGTGAAGTTTTGGCTGAGGACCTGTTCGCCACAGCAGCCACTGCAGCCCTGAAGGCTGGTAAAATAGCCCCTGATGTTATAGACACCGTCAACATTGGGCAGGTACTTCTATGTCCACAATGAAACAATTTGAATGAGGTTCATGATAAATCATTTAAAATTAATACATTGTTGTGGCAAGTTTTTTAAGTTAGGAATGTACTTAGTAACATATTCCAGATTAGTTCATTATCACAACATGGAATGTCAGGTCGGCATGCAGCTCTGAAAGCAGGCATTCCTGCAGATCGACCTGTTCTCAGTTTAAACCAAATGTCTGGATCCGCCTTTAGTGGCATAATCTGCAGCGCACAGGTGAGAATCCCTGGGAGGATAAAATAACGGATACAAATTCTATATCGGTTAAGCAATTTTTATTGAAATTCAGTCCGAAAACAATTAATGTACTCGATATCAATTCTTTATTACAGGAAATATTACTAGGAGCAGCTCAAATCACCCTTTGTGGTGGTATGGAATCTCTATCATCAATCTCTTTCCTTGTCCGCAACATACGCTATGGTGTACCATCGGGAACAACCCCTCAATTCGAAGATCAACTCCGCATGAGCTTCTTTGATACTTATTGCAATTTGACCCCTAATTGAAACTGTTGATGCTCTCGCTAAAAAGTATGATGTGACCAGAGAACAGGCGGATAAATATGCTCTGAAATCTCAAAAAAAAAGGAAAGATGGTAAATAAATACAACTTTATGTATTTTATGGATAAAGGAAGAAAACGGTACTCACTAGACTGTCTATAAGATCTTTTTCTTTGCTTATCAGATATTCTGTAAGTTAAGATGTCAGAGTATGAATAAGACATGAGAGATAGAGAATAACTTTTTCAGCCATAGGTGAAGAGAACAGGGAATTTGATTAGGAGTGATTATTTTTTTTTCTTTAGCGGACACAAGAGGTTTTTTCGACGAGGAGCTGGCTCCAGTGACAGTAAAGGACAATGACCGAGAAATTATAATGACGAAAGATGAACATCCACAGCCTGACATCACATTTGACGAGCTCAGTCAATTGCCACCTTTGTTCGAAAATGGACTCGTCACAACTGGTAACTGCACCGTAAGTCACACTTAGCTGTTCAGCCGGGGTTTAATTTTTTTGTCAGGTCACTTCTCCCACCCAGGGAAAGGCGAGAGTATCAGACTCTTATTGACTAAATACCTCCCGTTCCTTCTCCTGCTTTAGGCCGAGAGAAGTCTTTTGATAGTTTTCCCCTGAGAAAAACCACAAGACAGGTATAGAACGATTTGGCATCTAAATCGTTGTTTAGTTTTAGTAACATTTAAGATGCTAATTGTATTTTTTGCAGGGAGCAAATGACGGCGCTGCTGCAGTGGTCTTGGCGAATGAAGAAGCTTTAACTACCTACAACTTGAAACCTTTGGCACGATTAGTGGGCTGGTCAACTCTTGGAATAGATCCAGTGATGATGGGGATCGCATCTATTCCGGCTACACAGGCACTTCTCAAGACTACAGGACTGTCTATTGACGACATAGATTTATTTGAGGTAGTATCTAAAGTAAAAAGTACCCATACAGAAATCAGAAAATAACGACTTTTCCGCGACGTAAAATTGACTTAGAAAATATCTAGGATTGGGCAAAGTTTGAGGCTTTGTTTCATAAAAATATTGTTTCGGGTCTGGATATGATAGTCATATATTTGTATGGGTAATGGGTATGTAAATTCAACATAGACAATTCTATCTAAACCACTAAATAAATAATTGCAGATACATGAAACATACGCGGCGACAGCAATTATTATTGCCAAGGAGCTAGGCGTGGATCACAACAAACTGAACCTAAACGGAGGAGCAATCTCTATCGGTCACCCGTCGGGAGCTTCGGGGGCAAGGCTATTAATCCACCTTACCAATGAACTCAGGTAAAACATGCAGAAAGGTTAACGTTTTTTGACCATGTTCACCTCAACATGGTGATTTGAGGAAATATTTTTTATGGGATCTGTCGTTAGACGAGCTGATTATTCACCTAATGGGACATGCGTTGCCGATCTTTTAGGGGTTACAAATCCAGGGATTCGTCCTACATTTTATCTATATGTTGGACATGGCAAAGTACCATCCTAGGTATACCTAAGAACTACAATAAAAGATTCCTCCATTAAAGATTTAGTTTGCTACTTCTACTGATTGTTCCAGGCGACGAGGTTTAAAAAGAGGATTAACTTCAATATCCATAGCTGGTGGGCAGGCAAATTTCCATGATCATCGAGGCTGTTTGAGCCGAAAAACTAAATCAGAGAAGGAATTTTGAATAAACATGACGAACACTGTTTTATTAAGGCAACAATGTTTAGGTACCTACTTAACCATAATTTTTAATAAAGCATTTTATTGTATTATAAATATACCTAATTCTACAAAGTCATTAGAATTTTATTTTTTTAGTCTAAGTTATCTTCCTACCTACCCAAGAGCAGATTTCAAGACGCAATGTAGGTACCTAATCTATTGCAATTGATTTTCATACTCATTGTAAATATCTAAAAACAACTATATATTAGTTGAAAAGAAAACGTAGATAAATAAGAAAGAAACAAACTTTCAATTTCATCCAAATAGCATTTCTACAGGTTCCCGCTACTTATATTAAAACAAGTTGTATTAATCAACTTACTTACACCGTGTATGTACCGCTTTCACTTCAATGAAGCGATCCGGTTGCGAATACCTTGACTAAGTATTACATAAATTATATCAAACCGAGTACAACAGACTTTGCACTTTAAGATTACTCCGTTATCAACATTTATTAGGACTGGCTGTATGAAGCAAAACCGCGATCGTAAACATTAATCCTTCAATACGTAGTGAATAGATACGAAAAAGGCGCCAACCATTCGTTCTTCGGAATTTAAAATTATCATAATACTTACCACAACCGGCGAGGTCTTGTGCTGTGTTGACGTGTGTGTGTATTAAACAAAGATGGCCGTCGTTATCAATAAAGGTTAGTAATGTTGTATTATATTTGTTAGTTGTTATTGACTGTTTTGGTTCATTGAACTCATTAATGAGTGGCCTTAGTGTTTATTTGATATATCTCGTTAGGATGGTTAGCTAGAAAATATTGTTTTGGTTAATAAAAAGTTGGGTGAAACTCGTAGAACAGAGATAAAGTTGCAATATTTATATTTGTACCGGAGACCGTAATACAAAAATTTATAAATCGATTCAAATTTGTATTTTAAAGTCGTAGAAGTACATATAATTCCACATTTTATATATATCCCATCATTGTTTACAAATTAGCTAAACAAGTTTTGGTGGTGTCGCGATAAAATAAATCCTTATCTTTTCCGACACAAGGTCCAAATCACATTGGACGGACTTTCGTTCGGGTCAATGTCCACATAATAAATCGATGAACAAGGTCATTTAACACATCTGTTTAGAGTTTAGAATTCTTGCTTACTACTTCAGAAAAGTAGATTACCTAAATGTAATTTTATCGTAGAAAAACTAAGGCAGAGTATACTAAAATATCTCTGATAAAAAAATTAGCGTTTCTTTAAGTAAGTACATATTTTATGTGTGTAGATACTGGTTCTTTAAGACTCCCTCAACTTTCGTAAATACTAAATTAAATTACATAAAAAAAACAATGAAATGTTGTAAAAACAAAAGACCTACTTACATTGAATTTCGAATCTCCAGGTATCTTCATAGTGGCTGCTAAACGCACGCCATTCGGCAGATTTGGAGGAGCCTTTAAAGACATATATCCGTCTGACCTTCTGGCTGTAGCCGCTAAGGATGCTCTTAAAGCCGGCAGCGTCGCACCAGAGATCATCGATACCGTTAACATTGGACAAGTCTATGGGGTTGGTACCTACTGAACTTTATCTTTTTGCAACAATATTTCTTAGATCTACTTCTTGCTTTCTTCTAGCAAACCTTCTTACCATAGAATCAACTCCTATTTCTGTTAAGTCTTCTTATTTATTAAAATGTTTATTCTTTAGCTTAGCGGTTCATCAGATGGAGGTTTGTCTCCTCGTCATGCAGCGCTTAAAGCTGGTATCCCCCAAGAGAAGCCAGCTTTGGGTATTAGCAGACTTTGTGGGTCTGGTTTCCAAGCTGTGGTGAACAGTGCTCAGGTGAGATCTTAGTTGTATTTTTGGGTTTTCAAAAATGTTATATCAGTATCATCATCAGCTATTAGAACTGTTATTTAATTTTTTTACCAAACTGTACCAATTTTTGACGTTTCATTTTTCCAGGATATCATCACAGGAGCTGCCCAAACATCTTTGGCTGGAGGCACAGAAAACATGTCAACTGTTCCCTTCGTTGTCCGAAACACACGTTTTGGAGTCAATTTAGGTGTGAAGGTTCCTTTCGAAGATGTTCTCACTACATCGTCATTGGACACTTCCTGCAACTTTACCATGCCACAAACAGCTGAGAACCTAGCCGAGAAATACGGATTGCAGAGGATGGAAGTCGACCAATTCGCTCTGCAGTCACAACAGAGGTGGAAAGCTGGTATGACTAACTTTCTTCTAAATTAGTCGTCAATTCTGATTTGAAAGGCACAGTTGTTTATTCTTTAATTATTTCTGCCCTATTTAGCACATGACCAAGGCGTGTTCAAAGCGGAGATGGCCCCAGTAACAGTGAAGGTCAAGAAACAAGATAAGGTGGTGGAAGTAGACGAGCACCCTCGCCCCGAAACGACGACTGAAATGCTCAGCCGACTGCCAGTGTTGTTCAGGAAAGGAGGAGTTGTTACTGCTGGCAATTCTTCTGTAAGTGATATTCCATCGAAAACAAGACCATACATATCTAGCTTACTAAATTTGTCCACTTCATTGTCAACATGGGATTCGCATTTAGACCATGCAGTAGCTGTATATAATATTGCCCAATGTTTCCAATGTATTCGTAGTTCGTCAATCGTTCCGTTCTTGATTACGATTATTTAGCTTTTAATATTGATTTGCCATTCAACAACCTCTGCTGTGTGTGATGTACTTATAACGATTTCTTCATCATTATTTCTAGGGTGTAAACGATGGTGCTGGAGCTATAGTTCTAGCAAGCGAGGAATCAGTCAAGCAGAACGGGTTCACACCTCTCGTGCGCCTGCTGGCATGGTCTGCAGTAGGTGTAGACCCTTCCATCATGGGTATTGGACCTGTCCCCGCCATACAGAACATACTGTCTGCGACAGGATTGAAACTGAACGATATCGATTTGATTGAGGTACGTAGTATTGGAAGCTTTTAGATTATTATTTGCATCTGCAAATCTAGTGAAATGCTGATGTGCTGATGTGATACTCTATTAATGTCTTGATAGATATTTTTGTTGTCAGCTTTTTGGGGATTAAGGTTCCAGAAACTTTGGGATTGGGTAGTGATGGGGAAGGGAAAGGATTGGGCCTCCGGTAACCTGAATTACAACGCTGCGGTTTCGAGGTTTCTTATGAGGCTGTGGTATCATTTTAATCGACAACGGCAAGGGAATCATCATTCATTAACATAACTTCCATATAGCAGAATCCAGCTTATGAGAGATTTGAGAGATATAGAAGTGGTTGCGCACTTAATTATTTATCAAAAAGTTTTTAATTTCAGTAACCCTATTGTATCTTTTACAGATCAACGAGGCATTTGCAGCTCAGACTTTGGCATGTGCCAAGGAATTGGGCCTGGACCAGAGCAAGTTGAACGTCAATGGAGGTGCCATTGCCATGGGCCACCCGGTTGGAGCTTCTGGCGCTAGGATTACTGCGCATCTAGCTCATGAGCTCAGGTAGGCAGAATTAAAAATAGCAAATCTGAGTGAACTAGCATAGGACGAGCCAGTCTGTAGAGCGATACTTTTCACATCACACAGATTTCTTTCTGCCACGTCGCAGCGAGTTGACAGAAAATCGCAGATTTTTGATTCTAGGACCAATTTTATTTTGCTGTGGTGTACTAACTATTGGGAAGGCTATGTCAAGCCTAGTTAGTAAAAGATGAGACTACCTGGGGCCGATGTAGAGCCGGTTTCAATTCGTTGACAATTTGGTGCTTAATCATAGTTTTCCATGGGACCTTAAAATCCAGCGCAATTGGTACTTTGTATGTTTTTAGTAAATTATAGTCTTGACTCAATTTCTTCCAAAGGCACAATGTGTTTTAGGATGTAAAATTAACGTCGAGTTTTACTTCCAGACGCCGAGGACTCAAGAGGGGTATCGGATCAGCTTGCATCGGCGGCGGGCAGGGCATTGCTCTACTACTTGAGACTGTTTAATTTATTACAAAACACCCATAGATTTTACATTCAATTTCTATCCAATTGTTACTATATAATGTGTTATTTTGAGAACAAAATACGTTATGAATAAATTTTCAAATTGTAAATAATGAAAAAATATATGTACGGTAATTATTTTTTGTAACCTCTTTTGTTTTATTTATTGTTTAAATGACGTACACTACGGCCGACGACGTATCTTGGCGGGTCTGAAGTTAGCGGTTTGTCTGCGCAATGGATCTTTTAGGAACAAATTAGTGTACGTGCGCAGCTAATCGGCTAACTTCAGACTCGCCAAGATACGTTGGCGGTAAGTATTATACCTACCTATATCTACAATTAAAGTTCCCACTACACTTGGTAGACAAGAACCTAACCTATCTACTTACTATGACAAACAAATAGCTTCAAACTTCATTGCAGTACTTATCCATTTTCCTTATACTTATAAACCAAATGCCCGCCATAGTAATATCACAATAAAAACATCATACAAGTAGGTACCAACCTAATCTTATCGAAAGCATTGCGGGAGATATTTATTATTTAAAAACATGTCTATCTTGACAAAAAATGGATGTTGATCCTCACCGTATCTTACTTATTTAATATCTTTCATTATATCATAAAAGAGTACCTACTGAATACGTCAGTGTTGATAACACACCAACGATTTTAGTGCACAAATACGTGTATCCTTCAAAACACGTTTCTTTTCATTCGTTCTCCTTTGTTTTTTATTACCAACCATAATTCAAGATGGCGGCCAGTACCAAAGGTTAGTTTTTTGAATTTACGATATCAATTTTTATTATTATAGATAAGTTGTCGATACTATCAGATACTGCTATATTTTAAAATTTGCGCTACGAAATATGGACTTTAATGTGTGGTTTTAGAGCTTGATTTTTATAATACAATTTGGTTATCACTTGCTGTTGCTATGTTTATTTTGCCAATTTGTTTGTGGTGTAAATAAATACTGAGTTAACAATTATATAAGAGGTTTTAAATGCAATTTAGACTTTGAACTGGTGTTAATTTAAAAAGGTATCTGCAAATTATGATTGTTTATTACCTACACGTAGGTAACGTACAGGTACCTATTTATTTAAATTACTTGTAAACAATTACAACAACTTAGGAATATACAAAACAAGCTTAATCGATGAATTTTCGTACCAATTAATGTTTTCATTAATTAGTTGTAAAGTTATTGTATTCTTTCAGCTATTTTCATTATTGGCGCGAAACGGACACCATTTTGCAGTTATGGCGGACCTTTACGAGAGTTGGCAGCTTCACATGTATTTGCAGCCGCAGCAAAGGAAGCCATCAGTTCGGCCAACGTAGACCCCACGCTTATTGATAATACCATCGTTGGAAATATTAATTTTGTATGTTAAACATTTTGTGACGATTATTCTCAATTATAGTTATGTTTTATCAAGCATTTTAATAGGAGTAGATAAATTAAATATTAGTTACCGTAGTAGGTACGTTACGTGATGTTCGATGTTGTATGGACTAAAAATATAAACTGACCGTATTGTTTTCAGTTGAGTCAATGCGATGGCGGTAAAACTCCAAGATATTGTGGTATATACTCAGGCGTTCCTATTAGCAGTCCCGCGTTGGGCGTCAGTAAGGCTTGCGGGACCGGTTTGCAAGCAATCATCCAGAGCGCTTTGGTAAAACATTAATCACGTCTCTACATAGTTTATAATAAGCTCAATAACAAACTTATCAAAGCCGTCCCCCAAATATCATCTATAAAATAAAAACCACTTTAAAGCCTTACGATATCGTTTTCTAATTATCTGAAACGTTTTAGGACATAACAACAGGAAATTCAAAGATCACTCTAGCAGGAGGTACAGATTTAATGTCCTCGCTACCGATGCTGGTGAGAAATGTACGCTTTGGAACCGCTTTGGGTGCGTCCTACAGGCTAGAAGACCATATACAGAAGCAAATTCCAGATACATACGTTGGCGTGACGATGCATAAAATAGCAGACAACTTGGCCAAAAAGTTCAAAGTTACAAGAGAGGAAGTCGATGAATTCGCTTTGCAAAGCCATTTGAAGTGGAAAAAGGGTATGATTAAAATAATTTGTAGGAATGAACATACCTCCATATATGCTGTGAGCATCTTGTGACTTAGTGACGAAGAAAACCCCCAATTATTGCTGTTTATATACACATATATATCCCTCTTGAAAGTCTTCGCCGTACTCTCTGATCACATTAGGCATTCATTAAAATATTTTTCAGCTGATGAATCAAAAATATTTGACCGGGAGCTAACCAGCATTGAAGTAACCATCAAGAAGAAGCAAATACTAGTGGACAGAGACCAATTACCGCAGCCCTCGGTACAGGCTGAGAATTTAAGACAACTTCCAGCTTTAATAGAAGACGGAGAAGTTCTGACTTCTGGTAATACGTCTGTGAGTTCAGTTTTACCGTGTTTAATTGTGACTGTGTGTAGACTAACTACTTTTCGAAATGAAACTCCGAAAACTGGGTAGTTTCCTTTATAAAAGTATACCAAATAAAATACTGAAATATGCTCCTCACCTTGAAGAAAACATCTGGGAAAACTCCAGTAAAAATATCTTACATTTGATTAGATCGGACCAAAGTCTGGTTTTGTATAGGTACATAGGGCATTTATAAATAAACAGAGGGTCTGACCGGCGACATTCTTTATCTTCTATTTGACAGGCACCAGCGGATGGAGCAGCAGCTCTGCTCATAGCTCACGAAGAAGCAGTGAGAGGACAAGACTTACGACCATTAGCAAGGATAGTGGGGTGGACGTGTGTAGGGGTAGACCCTTTGGAAGCTGGGATAGGAGGAGCTCGTGCTGTCCAGAAACTTCTAGAACAACAGAATCTGCGAGTAGATGATGTGGATATTTTTGAGGTGTGTGTCATATCTATCTTTAATTCCTAATAAACAAGCTCTTAGGAAAAGAAAAACATACAAAACCATGTTTTAACGTGGCCGTAAAGTCAGATAGAACTAATTTAATTCATCGCGGTGGGAAAGATCTGAACTACTAAATTATACTGTATGAAGTTTCTGTTAAAAATAAACATCGATCCACCATAATATTATATCATCATAATATTACAGATAAATGAAAATTTCGCAGCTCAAGCTGTAATTGCCATCAAAGAACTGAAGGTGGATCCTAGCAAAGTAAATGTGAGTGGCGGTGCGATCGCTTTAGGGGACCCTATGTCTGCCACGGGGGCTAGAATGGCCACACATCTTGTGCACGAACTCAGGTAATTTAAGATTTCCAAGACAGACGATAAATAAAAAATGTGTCAAAAAAGTCAATGGTTCAGTCTACGGTAATGCGACTAAAATTAGTACTTCTACAATTTCTTAAATTGTTCTTTTTTGAGTAGACACTACAGTGTAATTGATGGTAAGAATCTGTCGTCCACGCAACACCAGAAAAGTTCTAAATGTGTTTTTTGAGGTGGCAAAATCATCATTAGCGTTCTCCCGATCTGCGTGGGGCGACAAGGAGTACATTGCACTCTTACATTGTAACAATCAACTTATAAAGAAAAATATTTGTGGACAGGCCACATCAAATAAAATGGAATAACTTATGTTGAAGAACTAAACTAAGTATATGATTTTTTTCAGCCGACGCAATTTGAAAAGAGGCATTGCTGCTTCCAGTTGTGGTGGAGGTCAAGGCGTTGCAATATTGCTAGAGAAAATTTAACCAAAATATTTTCCGTCCTTATCGTATTCATAGTAAAAGAAAGAGACCAAAACACTAAATCACGATTTTAGCATTATTTTGTTGAAATAAATACAAGGTTTTTTTTAACTGAAAATGTGGTATATTGAATCATTATAATATTAAATACATATTATTCAAAGCAGTCAATAAACAGAGAGTATTTATATAACTGGGGCAGTGGAACTTTGCGCAAGAGTACATTGTAATTACGGACTTTTCTTATACATGACACTTAATAAAAAAGTAACCAATGGTATAAAGATCTATAATAAATTGATATTATATATTTTTATATACTTAAAGATATTAATTTATACCTAATCTATCATAAAACTACACTATAAACAAGCATTTAATTATAAATGTGTACTTATAATGATAATAAAAATTGGAATCATACAAATTTCATACAATTATTTAAACTTAAAATACTATAAATATAATTACGGTATTCAGATTATGTCAGTGTTTCACCTTTAGTTACCTGAAACGAAAATAAAAATAGTAAAAAAATAAATTAAAATTGTTTTTTTTTTATGATGAAGTATGTATGAGACAGGTTATAAAGAAAATGAATTATGAAGAAGGAAAGGATATGTTATAACACTAGTGGTATCTTTCATTTGTTTTGTTAGCGAATCTCTTTTTTTAAATATAAGATAATAGAAGCTTGACCTGACAATAACTGGTTCAGTCATGGGTTTAACAACCCATTTTTCGATTAATATATAGATTCGGTATGTAGAGTGAAAGATAAAGAATATTGGTTTTCAATTTGTTATAATTATAAAATATATTAACTACGCAAAATTTTGCATTTTCCAGAGTTCAGAAACAACAATATATGGCCAAGTTAGAGAGAAAGTCTCCAAATTTTAGGTATCAAAGATATTATCAGTCATAGTTTGGTCCTCATTCTGTGCTCTTAATCATTTTTGATTAATGAAATAAAATAACTTTATCTAGAACCTCTTTTGCATCATAGCTGGTCTTATTCATACTTCATAAAAAAATAAAGTAAAGAAAAGGAATGTCTATTGTGTTTTACAAAAATCTTCACTATGTAATCTTCTTAAAATTAAGACTAAATCTATAACTCTACTACTGGTTTTGATCCATCCACAAGTTTCAGCTCCTGGGTTTGAATTCCAGGTTGGCATTTCTGTTAAAAATTTTATTCCATTCAATTTTTGTGTTAATTTAAACTTTTTTAAAAGTAATCATGTTAAAAAATTTGGAAAAAGGTTGGTGCATGGACAAGACCTTAGGTGATGATATGAAAAAAAGAAAATAGTTCTAAAGCTGTAAGAGTTTTGATTTCATTGCATTAAGAAAGTATAAAATAGCCATAGCCAATACACTGGCACTTAAAATTTTATACACACAAGAGATGAAAAGACTTTTGGATATTTGTCTAGAAATTCATATTACTATTTTCTTAATGCAAACATGATCCGAGCTGAAGCAATAAGTAAATAAACCCTATACAAATGAAAATAAAGTTGAAACATGATCAACAGCAACTTCTAGCAGAGCATTGTTAAGAAATATGTGTAAAAAGGGAATACATGTTTACTCACACAGGCCTCCAGATAATCAATCTTCCGTTCCAAAGATGTCAGTTTTTCATTCAAAGTTGCTAGGCGAGATCTGCAGGACATGTCTGCAAAACAAATTTGTACCTATTGAGCAGCTTAACTTTACAAGTGTCCGACTGACCAAACAGTTAATTGATTAACAATTAACTGTTTGGTGAAATGGATGAATGGATGCCTCATTTGAACTAGTTGAATCCTTGGTATTTGCTATAAGTTACATTTCATAGTGCCCTCAACAAGTATAACACTTCAGCGCCTATACTCCGTCCTCTTAAAATTCCCAATTAACGAAGGTTTCAAAATAATGCTAACAGGAAACTACAACAGTAACTTTAGGAGAAATGTTTAAAATTTAATGAATCATCCAAATCCGAAATGTTGAATTTACAGTAATTTATTATGAGCATTTTTATTTATTAAGAACATTTCTGATTGAATTAATGTGTTATTAATAATAAATAATATAAACATACCGAATGAGTTCAAGAAATCTGTGATCTTCTTTATGCTTCCCGTGATTACTTCGATGTACTCCCTGTTGGCCCAGTCCTGTTGGATTTGCTTTTGAATAGTTTCTCTTGGAGGCGTCGACATTTTCACAAATAAGTTTTGTTCAATTAGCACAATAATTTATTACTTTTATTACGATTTTGAACTCGCCAAGCCCAACTTGGGATTAAGAGTTGCGTTCTATTCCAGAATATTGAATTAGTTTGCATTCAATGCATGGGAAAACTATTTCTCCTTATATTTACTAAAATCTATGCTATAAATTCAACATAGATAGTCATTGCAAAACAAAATGGAACGCGCCTTTTGACGTTTCTCCGACCAAGTAAGTGTTACCAGGCAATATTTTGAAAACTAACTTTACTAAAGAGTGTAAATCACGGAACACAGAGCTGATCACTTGAAGAACTTAAACCATTTCTATTCTTATCATTGATGGTTATTGAATATATAAATAAAATTCTAATACTTGAATTGTGATATATTTATAAAAAATATAATAATTCCAAAAAACTTTTTCTACACTATTTTGCTGGTAACTCTATACCTAACCTGTCATTAATGTCAGGTCAGCAAAAATAAATTGTCAACGCCAGCTGTTTTAGTGACTGTGCCGGTGATTTTTTAATTTTGTATAGATCTGAAATAGGAGAAATATTTAAAAAATGGATGAAATTGAATATAAGTTAAACACTAACAACAGTGTATTGATAGTCAATGCAATCGACAAGCTAATATCGACTATTAAATCCAAATATAAGCCGATAGAAAGACAGCGATTTGTAAATGAAAATGAGGAACTAAGGTTTTTGAGAGAAAAGTGTTCTTCAAAGGATGCTAAGGTTAGCCTGACGGCGTGTCAGGGTCTGCTGGCACTGGTGGAACTCGGGGTCTTGGAAATAGCCCACACAATGTCCACTGTTGTTACTTTATTGCCTAGCACACAGTAAGTAACTTGGTTTAGTTTCATTTCAAGATTATTATAAATCTAAAAAACTGTCACATTAATTTTTCATAAATTATTTGAGAACATTGGTATTTATAATAGTGATTTAGTTCAGTCAGTTACATATTTACATATAAGTCAAGAAAATGAAAATGTTAAATCAGCAATATCTATATATAGATACCCTGTCACCGCAACACTAACTTAATTGTTCTTAAATCCTGTTTAAACCTTTGCAGTAACTACTCAGCTATTATATCTACAATGGCTGGTTTATTGATATTGGACCTGAAGTCTCGCTTAGTGCCAGGCCACCAGTACAAATGTCAGTTCACTCTGAAGTCTCCACAGCACCCATTCATCACAGTGCTGGACAAAAATAAGGATGCTGAAGGTGATGTGCTCGCACAGATGCATGCATTGTGCACCCATCCTGATTACACGTAAGTTTATTAAGATTGCATTGCAATAATTGCAACAACAACAACCATTGTTATAATAAGTAGATTCAATAATTAAAAAATATTTTGGCTAGTAGTGTCAAATAAAGACGGCACATTACCCCTCTAACCGCCGCATAGGCCCTGGTGACTTACGGTAGTGGAGGATTTGCCTTAAAAGTTTTCAGTCGGCAGTCAAAGGCTTAAAAAAAGAGTTTTTTTTATCTATAAAAGTAAACCTGAAATAAGTAATTTAAATGAGCTAAAATTAATAATGCCAATCTTTGTCTACTTTATGTGGCAATTTTCAACCATATACCTGTGTGTCAGTTTATAATCAACTTATTTCATATCAATAAAAGTCGGAAACTTAATGAAATTCTGTTCATTCATGAATACACACACAACAAGAATATATATTTTTTATATTGTATATTAAGAAAATATGTATAATCATTCCAGGGTGTCATCAAATAGCTTAGAGCTTCTGAGACCTGTGTTCTTCTGCCTGACCTGCCACCCACAGAGGGAAGGCAGCATCAGACCTTGGCAACTGTTGCTTAGTTTACCACAGACAACAGCACAGTCCTCCCTACTCCTAGCCTGTCTCAGTTGTCAACAGGTAGGATAGCAAGATTTTTTTATATATGTTTTTGAATAAAACATTGGCCCTCACTAGGACTTTTTCCTGCGTCATTCGTCGAAAAAAGAGTTTAAATACATGTTGCACGGCAGTCAGTTGCCCAGCTACTGCACCAAACATGCAGATAGAGTCATTTTGTTAAAATCTTATTTGTAAATATTATAACTGACTGATGGACTATAGCCTTTATTTATTTAGTCACAAATTGTATTTTATATAGCATTGATTACACCAAACCCCAAGCGAATACGTGCCTATTGTTCTTCTATTGTGTCTCTGATTACCACAATTAAAAGGTTAATAATCCTAAATGTTGAGGGACAAAAATTGGCCAAATTATTTCAGGTCTTCGATTGTGTCTTACAAATAGAAATAACAAGTAAAATGTACAGTACCTTAAAGCTCAGTGGCGCCATCTGAGCACATTGAACGCCATGTCGGCCATTGGTGCCCGATAGCCATCAACAGTTTTTGTCGGCGATCAAAGGCTTATAAAGATAATGATTGTTAACAGATATACAACCCGGCCTCAATAGAACGTTCATTCGCGGCGTACAGCGCGGTCACTGAGGCGGCAGTTTACCAGCAACACCGAGAACATGTCATGGCTCTACTTCCCATGCTTGCCAGGGTGTCCAATCAACTTGTCAAATTGGAGTAAGTAAAACGAAAGTAAAAGAATGTCATTGCAGTTATTGCATTGGCGGCATTGAGTGAGAAATAATACGGCTATGATCAATATTTAAGACTAGATAAACAAAGTTAATATAAAATTAATGTTGATATAAAGCAGCCTATGTGTTAATCAGTGGCGTCACCTTTCGACATACCAAATTTTAAACAATCGATCCAGCCGTTTTTGCCTGTAAGAATAACAAAAATACATCCATACATTCTCACAAACTTTCATATCGTAAAAAATTTAGGCTATTAGTAGAATACACCGATTTTGATCAGCTTGATGTACCTTTATAAAGCGCATTTAAAATTACTTTCTCAATCTCTCTTTTTTCTCATCAGACGAGACCCTCGTTCCTGCTACAACCTGATAGAGCGGTGCTTCGCCCTCGACGCCCCCGAACTAAAGTCGGTCGCCGGCATTACTCTAATGCTCCTGGCTGAAAATCTCACTGACACATCCGCTCTGCACCTTCATGAACTCTTCAATTTATGTGAGTCTTTCAACTGCAAATGTTTTACCACGTTAATAAATAGTGCTTGTTATTTCTACTATACTTGTGTTATTTTCCACAGGCATAAACATAATCAGCAAATACGAGTATTCATCCATATCTCTCAACGTCTTCGTGGCTCTCTCACTACAATGGCTGAACCTTCCATCCTACCTCACTGCATCAGCTCTTAAAGTAGCCTCTAAAATCCTGGACATCTACCAGGATAACTACAAGGAAGACACAAGACTCCACACACCGAATCTTAAAGCCAACAAAACATTCCAATCCTTACTCTACACTGACAGTCATCTCTCAATCATTTTCAAATTGAACCAAAACTGGGAGCGAATGAGAGATAACCCGGACAAATTAAAGAGCTGGCTTGATTCCTTATCCACAGTAAATAATGAAGTCAAATTGGAATTGCTACCATTCTTACTGGGTATGATTTTAGAGAAACGCAAGGAGGCGTGGTATGAAGAGATTGTAGTTAAAGTTATTAGGATTGTAGTAGATCTGGTTGAATACAAGAAGGAGGTTTCTGTGCAGTTACTGTCTCTGTTAATGTATAAAATAGCTAATGATAGATGTCCTGTGGTGAGGTTGGAGTGTTTGAGGGCGTTGCCTTTAATGGCGAAAACGAAGGTAAATTTGGTCAATAGTAATGATATAATAGGTCTTTACCTATGAAATTGCCATTCGGCAGTACTGGCCATTTCAAATCAAAATAGTTTTTGTTAGGCTAAGGTTAATTAATTTTGTTTTAAAAACATAGGATTCTTTTGCCAAAAGTAGTCATTTGTTATTGATTAGTGTTACATTTTCATCGCATTTCAAATCAAATAATTCGTTTACATTTTTTCATACAAAACGGCAATTTTTCAATATTTTTTAAATTCTGAAAAATGTTCCTTTTTCATGAAAAAGTGAAGAAATCTTTTAATGTTACAGTCGGCAACATCTTTATTGACTCAAATTAATGGTTTTTAGGAAAATGTTCCAGTTATCGTATCTGTATTGAATAAGATAAAGGCTAATAAAGGTGCACCGACCTCGTTCCTCATCATGCTATACACCAGTTTAGCAGAAACACAGGTATGAATAACTTTTAATACTATTTCATACTGGTCCCAATACAGCACCTTGCGGCACTCCTATTTAGTAGTGCTTAGAAATTCGTCACATACGATTTTTTTTTCGTTTCTAATTATTGATATGCCAATTTAACATTTAGTCTTTATACCCTTACAGTTGTAATTAGCGTGTTTGTCATTTTAATAATGAAAATTATATAGTTTACTCTGTCACTAGCCTTAAGTAGCTCACAGAAAATTTGAACCGACAAACGTAAAATTGAAGAAATAAGTTATTAGTTTTGCATATCTATACAAATTTTAATTAAGTTGGCACTGAATTAGCATTGAACAGAATTGTTAAAGTCTTTTCTAATTATGTTCTAACAGGTGCGATGTTTCCCATACTTGCAAGAAATGCTCGTAGACCCCGGGGTGGGCAAGCAAGATGACTTGAAGTGGGAGCTCGACATCGCTAAAGCGATTGCTGTTAATAGGATTTGTGAGATACGGTAAGTTTTAGGAAGCTATTATGAAGTTGGATTTAATAATTATTTAGACTTTAGGCTCAATTTGTCTAATACTGTATTTTTGGGTAAGCAGCTTTTACCACAGAACTTGCTTAACTACGCCTTAAGAAAAGATTAACAAAGTATTAAGCCTAATTTTTAACGATTTTTTTTTTGTAACCAGAAAGCAATAAGTTCTAAATAAGGTAGCTATTTTTTTATACTGAATTCCTCACCAGTCCCACAAGCCACGGCCTGGAGCTGGTGTCAGTGATATCGTCCCTGCTGAACCGTTGCGGGGAGCGCGGGGGCAGCGCGGCGACCAGCGTGTGCGTGGCAGCCCTGGCGCGGCTGTGGCGCGCCGCCGCGCTGGCGCCGCACTCCACGTGGGCAGCCCTGCAACCCAAGCTGGCCCGGGACACACGGCCTGCTGTGCAGATCAGGTACTGTTACTTCAGTGTCAATCCTTTTCAAAAAGAAATCCAAGAGTTTATTCTTGTAACGTGAAAATCATCAACTTATCGAGCCCAGGGTGAGGCGAAGGTGTGTCAGCCTCTTACTGAATAAAACTCCCGTTTCTTCTCCTGCATTAGGATGAGGCCGCGTTACCTAATTCATTTAAATAATCTTTGTATGTACCTTATACGACCTCTTTAGTATAAAAAGACATACCAAGGCTATTTACCTTTAGTCAATTACCTAAACCGATAGTGAAACAATGAATTTATTTTTGCAAATAGGCCATAAAACGGCACTTTTACATGTCAAATTATATGTGAAAAACTAGATGAAGCCGGCATTTCCTATCTGACTACTCTGAGAAGAAATGCCGAAACAAACTAAAGATAAGTCATATAAGTCTGATAAAAAAAGTGTGGGAGACTCATGCTTCGGCACGAATGGGTCGACTCGACCCGAGTAATACAGCGGCCTTTTTTTTATTTCGCCGTGTGACTGTGGTCACTGATGACCCAAAACTACCCCTCCTCCAATCCAAAGCGGAGAGTCCCACCAATATCTCCTCAATCTTAAATCCCTAATACCCAAAGTTGGCAACGCACTCGTACCTCCATCGTTATTGCGAGTGTCCTTGGGTGGCGCTGATTGCTTACCATCAGGTAATCCATTTTCTCGCTTGCCGACCTATCACATGTATGTCTCCAGTATCTGCAAGCTGCTAAGCGAGGTCCCGTCCCTGCGAGTATCGACGCCGGAGTTCGATCGGCTGGCCCGCGAGGGGGCGCGCCGCCTGTGGCAGTGGGTGGCGGACTCCAACGTGCCCGAAGTCGTCGAGGCTGCCTGCGACGCGCTCGCTAACTACAAGATCGACGATTACAAGCTTTGTGATGTACCTGAGGTAAGTACTAATAAAATAAACTTTTGTTAATAATTTCACACTTTTTTATGTCTGTAAGTAATTTCATAAGTGTCAAATGTAGAATAGTGCAAATATCGTCAGATTAACTTTTAGGATCCATTATATTTCAGTCGGGGTTGCGGGGCTAAAGCAATAAGGTACCGTGATCTCGGCCTAAAGTAGAAGAAAGGGGGGGGGGGGGGGGGTTAGTCAGTAGGTGTCTGACAGTCTCTCTAAAAGAAATCATTTGATAACTATCACCTCATTAAAAATTAGCTTATATTCACCTCACACATGAATACTCTAACTAACCTTCCGGTCATGCAACAACCCTCAGTCTACTATGTTAAACGCATCCACGATACAACTATAGAGTGTGTCAACGCTATTAAAAATATGGGAGCTGACGTGAGCACATGGGACCCTATAATTTGCTATCTGATGTCGAATAAATTAGATGCTAACACACATTCCGAATACATCGCATCTCTCAAGCAACCCCGTGAATTGCCTATTCTGTCAGAGTTTTTGGACTTCCTGGAAGCCAAATTTACAAGCATGGAGTCATCACGGCGTAAACAAGATCAAAAATCTCTGAACTCCAACGCAAAATCATCTAAGGATAATAATCTGAATAACAAAAGTATCAATCGTAATTCGAAACAATCTTATTCGAGCCACAAAAACTTTTCGAAAGCAAATGGAAAACTCCATTATAAACGAACTTGCCCATTATGCAAAAATGGTCATGGATTATTCCATTGTGAACAATATATTGGATTGTCCCCAATTGACAAAAAACAATTTGTCATCGACAACAAGCTATGCGAAAATTGTCTTTTTAGTCATAAAGGCAAAGAATGTATTTCAACAAAACGGTGTCAAGAGTGTGACGCAAGTCATAATACATTACTTCATGATGCGTTTGCGCAAGCCGCAAACACAACGCCCAACCAAGCAAAATCAAAAGCGACAAATTTCCGTACTTTGCCTGAGCAAAATCAGCAACTTGGCACGCACGTGGCTCAACAACGTGAAGTACCGGAAACGTTATTGTCCACAGTCGTAATAAGGGTTCAAAAATATGATGGATCTTTTCTTATCATGCGAGCTTTGATTGATCAGGGCTCCCAAACTTCACTCATCACCGAAAATGCGGCGCAACAATTAGGACTTCTTCGTCAACGATGCAAAGGTGTCATAACCGGTATAGGAGCCAGGAACAATGCCTGTAAGGGAATTATCAATATAAACTGCTCATCAAGAAACGACTCTTATTTCTTTAATACTGACGTTTTTATAATGAAAAGCTTAACAAAAAATCTGCCAACTTATACCTTTGCGAAGCCCACATGGTCTTACTTAGAAAACATAGAACTTGCAGATCCTGACTTTTACGTCAGTCGTCCGATAGATATTTTATTTGGCGCAGATATATATTCAAACATAATTATGGCGGGTATCTGTAGACTTGATCAAACCACGCCAATTGCTCAACAGACTCGGCTTGGGTGGATCCTGTGCGGCAACGTGAACACACTTCAATGCAACGTAGTCCAGTTAGATATGGAGCAATTGCAAAAATTTTGGGAAACGGAGGAGATTGCAGAGTCGACTTCGCATACCTCAGATGATCAAGAGTGTCTGAGATTTTACAGTTCAACAACAAAACGACTGCCAGACGGCAGATATGTTGTAAGACTCCCTCTGAAAGGAAATTTACAAGAACAATTGGGCAACTCGAAATCAAAAGCCATTGCACAATTTGGTCATCTGGAACGTAAACTAATTAAAAATGAAAACATCGCAAAGGAATATAAATCATTTATACACGAATATCTAGCGTTAGGACATATGAAACCAACTATTCGTAACACGAAACTCGAATGTTTCTTGCCCCATCATTGTGTGCTACGAGACGATTCGACGACTACAGCACTCCGAGTCGTTTTTAATGCCTCATCAAAAACAACAAGTGGACAAAGTTTAAACGATTTGATGTACAAGGGCCCAAATCTGCAACATGACCTTCAGTCATTGATACTTAAGTGGAGGCAGTATCAATTTGCCTTCACCGCAGATATTGAAAAGATGTTTCGTCAAATTTTAGTCCATTATGAAGATCAGAGCCTGCAAAAGATCGTATGGAGAGATAGTCCCAGAGACAAACTACGAGAATATCAGCTGACCACTGTCACATACGGGACTAAAGCAGCTCCTTTCCTCGCAATGATGACGCTAAAACAGCTGGCGAACGACGAACGTGCCGAATATCCGGAAGCGTCTAAAGTCCTGGAGGACTCATTTTACATGGATGACCTTCTCCATGGTACTCATAGCATACCTGCGGCACGTCAACTTCAACAAGATTTAATTACTCTCCTGGAACGCGGGGGATTTAATCTTAGAAAATGGGCTTCTAATGATCCACATTTATTGCACGATGAAGTCCCATGCCAACAACAAAGCAAAAGCTTTCGACAGCCAGAATCTACGAAGACATTAGGACTGCGCTGGAATCCTGTCAAGGATAATTTTACGTTTGAACAAAAAATTGACTCCACAGTCGACAAGGCCACAAAGCGGTCCGTTTTGTCCGACATCTCTAAGTTTTTTGACCCATTAGGATGGATCACACCTACAACTACGAAATTTAAAATTTTATTTCAACGAATTTGGACTTCACAAATACAGTGGGATGAGCAGATACCTGAAGATATTCTGGAAGACTGGAAAAAACTTAAGGCGGACATTTATCAAATAAATCAGGTTCAAATACCAAGATGGTTAGGCACAAAACCAAAACAAAGATTCGAATTACATGGTTTTTGCGACTCGTCAACAAAGGCATACGCCTGCGTTATTTACTGTAAAGTTTATAACAAACAAACAAATATTATACTGGTGGCTGGAAAATCAAGAATAATTCCCGCTAACAAAAACATTTCATTGCCGCGACTGGAGCTTTGCGGCGCTCATTTATTAGCTAAACTCATGGCAAAAGTCAAGACTTCTTTAACTGACTACAAGATTGATGTTTATGGCTGGGTTGACTCCACAGCAGTACTGGGGTGGCTGAAAGGAGATCCAAGCCGGTGGCAAACCTTTGTTGCTAACAGAACACGATTTATAACAGAAATCATGCCTTCTCCCTGCTGGCGATACGTTAAGTCTGCCGAAAATCCTGCAGACTGCGCTAGTAGAGGATTATCGATGTCGCAATTGATGCAGCATCCCTTATGGTGGCACGGACCATCTTGGCTACAAACATTTAAAGCTGTGGAAAAAAGTGAAGAAATAAATTACACAACAACATTGGAAATGAAACCGCAAAAGCAAGTTAATGCTGTTATTAAACAAAAAGAAGAGGACAGTATAATCATGAACATGTTGAAAGATCACAGTTCTTTTACGAAAGTCGTACACATTTTGGCATGGGTGTATAGATTTTTAACAAGGAAACAAAACAAGGCGAAGTCTTCCTACCTTACGCTAGAAGAGATAAGAAACGCCAAAATGAAGATCATCAAACAAGTACAGCAGCAAGAATTCGCAGAAGACATTAAAAGCTTGCGGGAGAAAGAAAAGCTTAACAACAAAAGCAGAATACTTAATCTGAATCCATTTTTGGATCATTTAGGACTTCTCCGTGTCGGAGGAAGATTAAGACATGCTCATATTCATACAGACATGCAACATCCTTTAATTATTCCACAACGAGGACGTTTAACAGAGCTTCTTATAGAACACGCACATAAGCTTACTTTCCATGGCGGAGCTCGCTTGACATCGGGATTTATCCGACAAAAGTACTGGATTATTGGTGGAAATTCAGCAACAAAAAAGCAAATACGTCTATGCGTTAAATGTAAAAAACTAAGTCCTAACAAACACACCCAAATCATGGGTGACTTACCTGCCGCAAGAAGTAACCCCTCTCGTCCGTTTGAACACACGGGAATAGATTTTACTGGTCATCTGCTTCTTAAATCCAACAAGGGCCGAGGTATAAAAACCACTAAAGGATATGTGGCTGTTTTCGTCTGCATGTGTACTAAAGCTGTACACTTAGAACTAGCTTCCGATCTTAGCACCTCGTCATTCATCGCAGCCTTAAGGAGAATGGTAGCTCGTAGAGGTACCCCAAGTCACATATATAGTGACAATGGACGAAACTTTGTCGGAGCCAACAAACAAATTCAACAAGAATATCAGGAACTGCTACAAATGTTTAACAACGAACTTTTGGCTGAACTGACAGACATGGAAATAAAATGGCATTTTAACGCACCTATCTGGCCCTCCGCAGGCGGTCTTTGGGAATCCGCAGTCAAAAGTTTCAAACATCACTTTAAAAGAGTTGTCGGAGAACAAAAGTTGACTTTTGAAGAACTGTCGACAGTCCTCACGCAAATCGAGGCATGCCTCAATTCTAGGCCTTTGTGCTCACGGAAGATCCGGAGGATTTAAACTACTTAACTCCATCTCACTTTTTGACTGGCGGTTCAACACTTACCCTAGTTGAAACCGAAAGAGACTTGAGGACTAGGTGGCAGCTAACTCAGAGAATTTTCGCTGACATCTGGAAAAGATGGCGTGCTGAGTATTTAACACAACTAACAACAAGAAGCAAATGGCGACAGTCTCGTGAAAACATAAACCTAAACGACGTAGTCCTTTTGCACGATGACAATTTACCTCCTGGAAAATGGTCTATGGGTAGGGTCGTCGAGCTACATCCGGGAGCAGACGGACTGGTTCGTGTTGTGAGCTTAAAAACGAAGAACGGAATTCTTAAAAGACCGATAACAAAACTATCAATATTACCTGTGAACCAAAACCTATCAGACTCATCTGAAAATGTCCAGGAAGAATTGAAATCAAACAGCGAAGAAAAAAAACCTCACCGGAAATCTAAAAGAGTTAACGTAATTACATTATTTACGTCTTTAATATTTTTTATGACAATCGTAACAGGAGGACACTGCGACTTCCAATCAACAAAATTTAGATCTAATCAGAGTCTTTATTTCGATAAATTATCTAACATGCAAATTATACGGGATGAATGGAAGCTCATTATTTACTACGATATGCAACCTTATTGGGAAGGCATTACAGCTCTAAATAAATATACGAAGTCTTTAGAACAATCATGCAAAACACTACATAATGTCATGAACTGTGATATCATATTACTACAGTTGGTTCAAGGCTTCGGTGAACTTGAGTACTACAATCAGATGTTGCTCGGTCAGCACATAAACGAGCAGCGCACTAGACAGCGGCGCGGCCTTATCGACGGTGTCGGATATCTTGCGAATAGCCTTCGGGGTATTAGATGCGAGATTCGCCGAACAGTATCGCAAAGACATAACATTACTTCGCGACAATCAACGTCATATTGCCTCTTATTGGCAAAACCAAACATCAATTATAGAGGTCGAATATAATGTTCTCAAACGAACAGAGCAAACCATGAACAAGCAACATAAAATGGTTTCCCAACATATAATTTCCATAGAAAAGGCGCTGAACAAACTCCAATCTGAAACATAAAACATGTCCTTTGTAAACGAGCTGACTGTCGGAGCTATTATAGGTAGCAACATGCTACATAACTTGAAGTCATTACAGAGTACCCTACTGGACACTATTACTGACATCTATCACGGTCAGTTTAATCCACACCTTCTAACTCCTGTTCAATTGCAAGATCAGCTGAGTACCATAGCTAGTCAGCTCCCTAATGACGGAACATTGCCTGTAGAAAACGTACAAATGGATTTAAAGAAAATTTATAAACTTCTCAAAGTAAAAGCCAGGATGCTGGAAGAATACCTCATCTTTGAAATCAGGCTTCCTCTCATCAGTAGAGATACCTTTGAAATATTCAAAATATTTTCCATACCTCAAGTCAAAGGAATCAACATGGTTAGTATCCAACCAATATCAGATTACGTGGCCATAAATTTAAAGAAGGATACCTACTTAACTATGACAGAGAAAACATTAACATCGTGCCTGATATCAGATGCTTATCTGTGTCATATTCAAAGACCTATTTATCATCTGAATGGGGATAAAGATTTCTGTCAGACTGAAGAGTTTGAATGTGAAACTAGGATCTCTCCTTGCAAAAACAGCTGGTTTGAAAGTAACACAATTAACAACTACATCTATTTTTGTTGCGATCAATGCCCTTTACGTATAATATGTGAGGATCAAATTGCTAGTCATCAGCTGTCTGGAGCCGGCCTTGTTGCTATAGACAATGGGTGTATTATTAAAACGCAAGCATTTACTTTGATTGCACACAGACAGCAGTCTACTCAAATTAACATTAAAAATGATGTTTATACTCCACTGATACCACCGATAAATCACATCATCAACATTACGATCCCGCATATGATATCGATGAATGATTCAGAATCTATCCAGAATCAAAGGGATTTATCAGAACTTGGCCTGCAAATTAAGGTTTTGAAAGATAATGCCGCTATAACTGACAACATTTCTGTTCATGATATACACCACTACACTCTGATATACCTCATCATCGCTATCGTGGGAATAGCAGGACTGGCTTTCGTGTGGCGTCGCTGGCGCGCCTGGAGCGTGCCAGCTGAGCGCACGCTGGCACCGACACCAGCGCAGGCGCACGGTACGCCTGCGCCTCTTCACAGAAGCAATAATTCGTGCGTGATTCTCGGTGACCGAGTGGTTTACCACAGTGAGCTAAGTGACAACAATCAGAGCAGTGTTTCTAATCTCAATAGTGCGCGAGTGAATAAAGCTACGTCACCTATTTGCGTTCGTCAAGTGTGACTAGAGACAGTACTACATTATAAATAACGTTTGTGACTAGAGACAGTACTACATTATAAATAAGTAAAAAAAAAAAATTCTACTATTACTTTTCTATAACATTTATATTATTTTCTTGTAACATTGTTTTTAATTTTTTTTAATAACAACATTTATTTTGTATCTTGTTTATTTCTCCTGTAGGGAGTATGTACGAGCAAACCCGTACACTTTGTATTGTTTAGTAATAATGCTGACGTTGCACTTACTATTATGCTGTGCGTCGCGCTCTACTTAGCAATAAGTTATTTTAGTACAAATAAACCCGTGAAACAGTAAACATCGTTTTACTTAATCAAATTCCCTAACTAGGGTCGCGGCGCGGTACTCATAACATTTTAACAATAATTAACAAGGTGTAAGGTGAACACCGTACAATATATTTTAAACTATACTCGGAATTTTAATTCCATTCCAGATTTGACAATTTCAGTGTTGCAACGTTATGACTCGTAATAAATAGTGACGTTGCGAAATTATTCGATGTGGTAATCGAATATTTCTGAATCGATTCCTCTCGTTTATAAATTTACTCTCGTAAACTAAGTTTATCAGGAAATAAAATATTTCTGAACCGATAATTTAGTTTTGACAATTAATTAACGATCTGAGAATTTTCTTTTGTAATTGTTGTGAAATTAATAAAAAATGTGATCAAGAAGGAACATGACAAATAAAACAAAAATTTTATAAATTGTCGTCGTCATCGCTATCGCTATCGCTGTTACTTTCTGTAACATTAATTATGAATTGTGTCTGTGATTTTTATTCTCAATTAACATATCTAGCTTACTCATTTTTTCCAATTATTTGACAACATGGGATACGCATTTAGACCATTCGGTAGCCGTAATTTTTTGAATGCCTTCCTGAAACTGATTCACTGATTGTTTATCGATTTTTGTATCCATCACTACATTGTTATATGTGGTATCATTATTTCATAAAATGACAGTAGGTCATATCAAATCAGGAATCGAATTAAAAGTCTGACTATAGTTTTTATATGAGACTTTCGTTGGTAGTGGTGAAGGAACGCACGTGTTTTTTATCGGTACTACGATTGTTGTCAATTTTAGTGATCTTTTTCATAGTGATCTAAATTGAAGCATTTTGTGTTGTTTTTATTGTGTTTGTGTGTGTTTTTTAACGTAGTAAGTAGTAGTTTTAACCTTTAATTATAACTTTTTCTTCCCTTTACTTCCCTCTTCTCTCCATTGTCCAAAATGGACGAGGAGAAACCTCCGGACCCTCCTGATAAAACGTTGGACTACCAACCAATTTTAACGATTACCCTACCCCACGATAACCCCGATCCCGAACTAATGGACTCTGAGTCATCAGCCAACAGAAAAAGATCAGCAGGCTCCCCACCTATCTCTCGTAACAACCCTCCAAAAGTACCTAAAAGCATAAATGGTAGGCAATGTTACACAGCTAAGGACAACCCCCCATACATCGTATATGTCTCCCTCAAGGACTCCCAGACTTCTGGTACCACACTGCACCCAGTAAAGTTCGGGATGTTCTTGATGCGGAACAATATAAATAATGTTAAAATTGGCGGTGTTAAACGATTAGGAAGGAACAGGGTTTCAGTGGAGTTTGTGTCACACCAGGATGCCAACAGTTTTTTAGTAAATTGTGTGGTGGCACAAAACTATACAACATCAATCCCACAATTCAATATCACGAGAATGGGTATAGTGAGGGATGTTCCCATTGAGTGGTCGGAGGAGGAGGTTATCAGCAACATTAAGGTTCCTGCGGGATGTGGTGTTGTGATAAAAGCAAGACGGATGAACAGGAAAGTTTCCTCACCAAGCGGAATGGAATGGAAGCCCACCCAAACCGTAGTCCTGACATTTGATGGCCAAATCTTACCCAAGAAAGTGTTTTGCTTCTATTCAGCGCTCCCAGTTGAACTTTATTCATACCCGACAATCCAATGTTATAACTGTTGTCGATTTGGGCACACCCGCACTTTATGCCGTTCAAAACCACGCTGCTTCAAGTGTGGCCAGGATCATCCTGGTGATGGATGCCAACTAGCTAGTGAGGTTGCACATTGTATAAACTGCAATGGCAATCATTTTGCAAATGACAGTGCTTGTCCTGAGCTGGGCCGCCAAAAGAGCATTAAAGCTTTAATGGCGGAAAAATCTATTTCATATGCTGAAGCTAGCCAAGTTTTCCCACCTGTCAAAAGGTCATATGCCGAGGTGTCTAAATCAACAAACTATATTGACTCAGCACCAACCAAAAAACCATCCCAACAAAGAACCTCATATAAAAAAACAGTACTCCTTAAACCCAAATCCCATGCTCCCCTTTCTCCTAGTTATGACAAGAAGGCCCATCAGGCCCTTATCCAAGATTATTCTTTTTCCCCATCCCAAAATGGTTGCGCTTTCCCAATGGAATTTGGAACCAACAAACATAGCTCCAAAGACATTTTAAATATTATTTCCAATATGTTGATAGCAGTGTTATCTAACCCTGCTCAAGCCGTACCTGACCACGTTGCACAAAGACTAGCTACCATCCTAGAGTATATTTATAAAATTCCACCCACTAACTCTCCTTCAGTGGAACGTGAGGAGTACTCTTCCCAGGAAGAGTGACTTACTCCATTTAATTAATAAATTTCAACCTTCAATTTGTGGCATTGCTGAGACATGGCTCCTACCGAATATTAATTTCAGGATCCCATGTTTCAGTGTTGTCAGACAGGACAGATCTGATGGTTATGGAGGTTGTGCTTTGTTAGTAAATAACAAAGTACCCTTCTCCCAGATCCCTCTACCCTTCGTTGGCGATGACATAAATGTTGTCGCTGTTAAGGCTGAGGACATAAACATTTTTGTGTTTTATATTGCCCACCCCCAGAGTAGTCATATCATTTTAATTAAAAATCTATTAAGTTCAGTAAATGGTCCTTTACTTGTAATGGGCGACTTTAACTGCCATCACTTTCGATGGGGGTCTGAAATATGCGATAGCATAGGTCATGACCTAGTAGACATGCTGGATGACCTCGACTTATGCGTCATCAATGATGGCAGCCCCACTCGTAGGTCTGCACTTGGTCAAAGAAACAGCTGTGTGGACTTGACTTTCTGCTCATCTAGTGTGGCTAGTTTGCTTAATTGGAGTTGTTTGGATATGACCTATGGTAGTGATCACTATCCCATTATCATTAAGAGCCCATCTAAATCCATTCCAGATAAATCCCTTCCTCCCTTATTAAAATACCGGCTAAACTCAGCGGATTGGGACCTTTATTCCAAACTGCTGGATCTTCGCATTTCCGCATTACCAATTGTTAACTCTGAAAACGCTTTGGAGTGCTTTTCCCAATTTTCCGACGTAGTAGCTGCTACAGCTAAAGACTGCTTTCCGGAGAAAAGCATCCCAAAAGGAAAAATCCCCTCCCCCCCTTGGTGGGATAGTGAATGCACTGCCATGATACGAGCTAGGAATGAGGCTGAAAAGACATATAACCACGATATGAACCTGGAAAATCTCATAAACTTCAAGCGAATATTGGCTAAGTCAAGGAAGTTGTTTAAAAAGAAGAAGAAACAGAGCTGGCGGAGTTTCTGTTGTTCTTTGAACCCATCCACACCGGTGGCAACGGTTTGGCAGAGGGTGAAGAGCTTTAGGAACTCCTCTAAACCTCCTTCAATTTCCATCTTACCTGATAGTCTAAGCCATATGTTCTTTGCCAACATTGCTCCTACTTATGTTCCCAGTGAAGATGAATGTTGTTGGGGATTGTGTGAAGACTCACATGACCCCCTTGACAAAAAGTTCACAATGGAAGAGCTCCAAACGGTGCTGAACCATGTGAAAGACTCTGCACCAGGTAATGATGGATTCCCTTACTCCTTCCTCTCAAAATCAGGAATCAAAACTAAACAGTACTACCTTGACTTGGTCAATTTTTGTTTTATTTTTGGCTATATTCCCCCTTCCTGGAAGGTTCAGGTTGTTATACCGCTGTTAAAAGCTGGTAAAGATTCTGGTGATCATTCGTCTTACCGGCCTATTGCGCTATCGTCCATCCTTATTAAAATCCTAGAACACCTGATAAAAAACCGATTAGAATGGTTGGTGGAGGGCCAGAGACTGCTGCCGGTGACTCAATTTGGCTTTAGAAAGGGCTTGGGAACGGCCGATAGTGTGGGCACCCTCACATCGGCCATCCGACTGGCCCTTAGCAGGAGTGAGTCATTGGTTGCGGCCTTCTTGGATATTTCAGCGGCTTATGACTCGGTTCTCCTACCCCTTCTCAGGCAAAAATTGCAAAAGCTGAGAATCCCGAGTAGGATTTGCCAGATTATAGGCCATATCCTCTCCAATCGTACCCTCCAATTAAGAACTCCTGAAGATAGCCCTCTACAGAGAACTGCCTGGAGAGGGTTACCCCAGGGGTCAGTCCTTAGTCCCATCCTCTTCAATATTTATACCCATGATCTTCCCTCCTGTTTAAACTATGACTGCAATATCCTACAATACGCTGACGATATCGCGTTAATGGTCACCAATACCTCTATAACAGACGCCGCTCGCTCCATGAATGTCTCTTTATCCTCATTAAACCAATGGCTGGTTAATCATGGGTTATGTTTAAGTGCCCCAAAAAGCTCGGCTGTAATTTTTACGCGTAGCCGTCGCATTCCAGATGGCCGTATAGAAATAGACGGTCAGGTAATCCCGATAAGCAACAAGGCTAGATTCCTAGGCGTGATTCTAGACTCTAGGATGTCGGGGTTGGATCACGTAGACGCCGTCGTCACAAGGTGTGAACGGTCAGTAGCTGTACTCAGAGCACTGGCTGGAGTATGGTGGGGTGCCAACCCCTTTACATTGAAGCTCATCTATAATGCATTGGTCAGAAGCGTAATGGATTATTGCTGCTTCCTTATGGCACCTTGCAATAAGGAAGCTTTTAAAAAACTTGATTCCATTCAGGCCAAATGCCTTAGAATAATTATTGGAGCTATGAAGTCATCCCCTATAAATGCCCTACAGGTCGAATGTGCAGAGCCCCCCCTCGACCTTCGGAGACAATACCTAGCAGACCGTTTCGTTTCGAAAGCCCTTTCCCTTTCATCGCATCCCCTACTTCCGATCTTGGACCAGATCCACTGCTCCTATAATTCCTCCCCTTACTGGAACAATAAGTCTGTCCCTCTTGTGATTGTTAGGTACAGAGAACTTAAAAACCTCTCTGCACCCATCAGCCAATATCCTGTACTCCCGGTCTTTTCTTCTGCATATGAGATTATCCACTTCAGGCCAAGCATTGTCTTGGAACTAGGCATTGCAAAATCATCAGCGAACGCCAACAAGAAATTCAAACGCGCGTTGAGCAATTTCTGGAGTGACTGGAATTTGTTCTACACAGATGCTTCTAAA